GGCCCCTGGGATTCATGGAGCTGGAACATCCCTGGGATTCGTGGAGCTGGAATATCCCCGGGATTCATGGAGCTGGAATATCCCTGGGATTCATGGAGTGGAGATATCCCTGGGATTCATGGAGCTGGAACATCCCTGGGATTCATGGAGCTGGAATATCCCTGGGATTTGTGGAGCTGGAATATCCCCGGGATTCATGGAGCTGGAACATCCCTGGGATTCATGGAGCTGGAATATCCCCGGGATTCATGGAGCGGGAACATCCCCGGGATTCATGGAGCAGGAACATCCTGGGCTGCTGGCGATCCATGGAGCAGAGAGAGTTTTCCCGGGATTCCAGATTTCTGGGAATGGGGATCCATGGAGCGGGGAGAGTTTTCCCGGGATTCTGGGAACAGGGATTGGGATCTGCCCCGCAGCAGCAGCTCTGTCCCCGCGGGAGGAAAACCCTTCCCAGGGAAAAATCGGGAAGAGGCTCGGTGGGATGAGGAGACGCGGGCTCGTCCCGCCGGATTTTGGGATGTTGGGATCATTCCCAAATCCCTGTCCCAACTCCCGGAGCTCCTTTCCCGCCCGGCCAGGCAGCATTCCCACTTTCCCACATTCCCGGGATTCTGGGGATGAGCCCCGGGCGCCAATTCCCGTGGGAATGCTGGGATGGGAGCTGGAGCGAAAATCGGGAATGCTGCTCTGCTCCCAGGACCGGGAGCGCTGGGATGGGAGCTGGAGAGCCCAGAATGAGAGCTGGGAATTGAAAAAGAGGATTTGGGAATCCCAGAGAGGGATTTGGGAATCCCAGACCGGGATTTGGGAATCCCAGAGAGGGATTTGGGAATCCCAACCCAGGATTTGGGAATCCCAGACCGGGATTTGGGGATCCCAAAATGGATTTGGGAACCCCAGAGAGGGATTTGGGAATCCCAGACAGGGATTTGGGAATTCCAGAGCGGGATTTGGGAATCCCAACCCGGACCTGCCCCTCTCCATCCCAAATTTCCTCTCGGAGATGCCATTTTTGGGAAAGAACCGCTGGATTTGGGGCTGGCACATCCCTGGGTCAAACCAACAGCGACAGAATCCAAGGATTTCACCGAAGCAGGAGCAGGCTGGGGATTTTCCATGGCAAAACCGGGAATCCCGGGAGGATTTTCCATGGAATTAGCAGTGGAGCAGCCCCATTAACCCCCTGATGAGGAAATGGTTAATTGCCATTAATGTCAATATTTCCCGAGGTGATTTCCCGCTCGGAATTGCCCCAATTCCCGGTTGGATTTCCTGGTTACCCTCTGGAATGGGAATAAAACCAGCCCCGGGCGGCCCCGCGGCTCCAGAAGCGCCGGGAGCTGCTCGGAGCGAGGTGAGGAATTCCGGGAAAAGCGGGAATTCTGCCTCTCCCTGCGGGGTTTGGGAGGGAGATCTTCCCGCGGAGGACTCGGGATTTCGGGGGAGATCCCGGCGCAGGGAAATCGGGATTTCCGCTTTTTTGGGATCGCTCGGATGCGGATAAAGCGGGATAACGCTCCCGGCTGGGCGGCGTGCTGCAGGGCCCGGTGATCGGTGATCCCGGAGGTGATCCCGGTTATCCCGGAGGTGATCCCGGTTATCCCGGTGCCGATCCCGGTTATCCCGGCAGTGATCCCTGTTATCCCGGCAGTGATCCCGGTTATCCCGGTGCCGATCCCGGTTATCCCGGCAGTGATCTCGGAGGTGATCCCGGTTATCCCGGTGCTGATCCCGGTTGTCCCGGCAGTGATCCCGGTTATCCCGGTGCCGATCCCAGTTATCCGGGAGGTGATCCCGGTTATCCCGGTGCCGATCCCGGTTATCCCGGTGCCGATCCCGGTTATCCCGGTGCTGATCCCGGTTATCCCGGCAGTGATCCCGGTTATCCCGGTGCCGATCCCGGTTATCCCGGTGCTGATCCCGGTTATCCCGGTTGTCCCGGTGGCGATCCCGGTTATCCCGGTGCCGATCCCGGTTATCCCGGTGCCGATCCCGGTTATCCCGGTGCTGATCCCGGTTATCCCGGTTGTCCCGGCAGTGATCCCGGTTATCCCGGTGCCGATCCCGGTTATCCCGGTGATCCCGGCGGTCCCCAGGGAGGCTCCAGAGGGACGATGGCGCTGCGGGCGCTGCCGCTGCTGCTGCTGGCCGGGCTGGGAGCGGTGAGGATGGAGCAGAGCGGCACCGGGTGAGAGCGGAGCCGGGAGCGAGGGGCACGGGGGGATCCCGGGGGGATCCTGGGGATTCGGGGGGATTCCAGGGATACGGGGGGATCCCGGGGCACGGGGGGATCCCGGGGATTCGGGAGGGATTCCATGGGTTTGGGGGATCCCAGGGATTCAGGAGAATTCCAGGGATTTGGGAGGGATCTCATGGGTTTGGGGAGGATTCCATGGTCTGGGGGCTGATCCCATGGATCCCCAGGGTCAGGAATGATCCCATCCCACTGGGCTCAGGAATGAGCGGATCCTGATGGGATCAGGATGAGCAGATCTTGATGGGCTCAGGAATGAGCGGATCCTGATGGGATCAGGATGAGCAGATCCTGATGGGATCAGGAATGAGCGGATCCTGATGGGATCAGGATGAGCAGATCCGAATAGGATCAGGAATGAGCAGATCCCGATAGGATCAGGAATGAGCAGATCCCGATGGGATCAGGACTGAGCAGATCCCGATAGGATCAGGAATGAGCAGATCCCGATGGGATCAGGACTGAGCAGATCCCGATAGGATCAGGAATGAGCAGATCCCGATGGGATCAGGACTGAGCAGATCCCGATAGGATCAGGAATGAGCAGATCCCGATGGGATCAGGACTGAGCAGATCCCGATAGGATCAGGAATGAGCAGATCCCGATGGGATCAGGACTGAGCAGATCCCGATAGGATCAGGAATGAGCAGATCCCGATGGGATCAGGACTGAGCAGATCCCGATAGGATCAGGAATGAGCAGATCCCGATGGGAGCAGGACTGAGCAGATCCCGATGGGATCAGGAATGAGCGGATCCCGATAGGATCAGGAACGAGCAGATCCCAATAGGATCAGGAACGAGCAGATCCCGATGGGATCAGGACTGAGCGGATCCCGCTGTGCCCATCCCTGATCCCATCCCGCTTTTCCCGCTCCAGAGGCGGCGCTCCCGGGCTGCAGCGCCGGTACTCGGAGGCCACGCTGGCCAGCGACTACAGCCGCACCATGGACCACGTGCTGGGCAAGAACTTCGTGGAGTGGCTGCTGGCCCGGCGCGAGAGGAAAAGCCAGTGAGCATTCCCAAATCCCTGCCCAAAAACATTCCCAAATCCCTGCCCAAAAACATTCCCAAATCCCTGCCCAAAAACATTCCCAAATCCCTGCCCAAAAACATTCCCAAACCTCTGCCACAGAGCCAGGGATCATTCCCAAATTCCTTCCAGAGCCATTGGCATTCCCAAATCCCAAATCCCCATTCCCAGCCCGGCCTCTCCCGTCCTTTCCCAAAGCCACGGGAGCTCCGCACGCCGAGCCGGGATGGATTAATCGATGGATCCATGGATAATTCATGGATAATTAATGGATAATTCATGGATGGGCTCATGGATGGATTAATGGATGGATCCATGGATAATTCATGGATAATTCATGGATGGATCCATGGATAATTCATGGATAATTCATGGATGGATTCATGGATAATTCATGGATGGATTCATGGATAATTCATGGATGATTCATGGATGGATCCATGGATAATTAATGGATAATTAATGGATAATTCATGGATGGATTCATGGATAGATTCATGGATGGATCCATGGATAATTCATGGATAATTCATGGATGGATCCATGGATAATTCATGGATAATTCATGGATGGATTCATGGATAATTCATGGATAATTCATGGATAATTCATGGATGGATCCATGGATAATTCATGGATGGATTCATGGATGGATCCATGGATAATTAATGGATAATTAATGGATAATTCATGGGTGGATTCATGGATGGATCCATGGATAATTAATGGATAATTAATGGATAATTCATGGATGGATTCATGGATAATTAATGAATAATTCATGGATGGATTCATGGATGGATTCATGGATGGATTCATGGATGGATTCATGGATGGATTCATGGATGGATTCATGGATGGATTCATGGATGGATTCATGGATGGATTCATGGATGGATTCATGGATGGATTCATGGATAGATTCATGGATGGATCCATGGATAATTCATGGCTGATTCATGGATGGATCCATGGAAAAGCGGGATTCTGGCACCCTCTGCTGGATCCGCGGGATTCTCCAGCTTTTCCTTTTCCAGGGATGTCGCGGAGCCGCTCAGGAGAGAGGCCGAGCCCCAAAAAACGCCGCAGAAATTGGATTTGGGAGCTCCGGGAGCCACAGAATTCCTGGCGTGGCTCTGGAAAAACGAGGAAAACCAGAGGTGAAGTGGGAAGGGAAAATCGGGAGGAGCGGATTTGTCGGGTTTTGTGTGGAATTTCGGGAATTTTGGAGGTTTTTTATGGAATTTTGGGGGGATTTGTTGGGGTTTTTAATGGATTTCTGGGGATTTTTTTGGGTGTGTTTTACAGAATTTCAGTACTTTTGGTTTTGTTTTTTTAATGGAATTTGGGGATATTTGGTGTTTTCCCAGCTTTTCCATGAAAACACCTCCCGAAACGAGGCTTTGGGCTGGGGGAAAGGATCCGATTTGTGCTTCCCTTGATTTTGGGAGCAAACCTTTGGAAAATCCCGCCCCAGGACTCCCAAAATCCCAGGAATCCCCTCGTTTCCAGAAGAAATCTCAAATTTCAGGGTCTTTATCCCAGCGGGAGATTTAAATCCCAACATTCCCTGTGGTTTTAGGACTGGGAGGAAGATGTTGAAACCAGGAATTTTTTTTCCTTTAATTCCGTTTTTATGGAATTTGTTTTTTTGGTTTTTTGGTTTTTTTTTTTGCAGTTTTCCAGCTCTGGAAGGTTCCGAGGGCTTGAGGGAATTCTTGGAGCAGGAATTCCTGACGTGGCTGATGTCGGGAGAGCTCTGCAGGGCCACGTGAGTTCCGACATTCCCAAAAATCCCTTTATCCCCAAAAAATTTTGGGGTTTTTTTTTTTTTTTTGGGATCACATTCCCAGAGAAATCCCGGCTGCCCCATCCCTGGAAGTTCCCAAGGCCAGGGAGTAGAACTGGACGGGATTCGGGATTTTTTCCAAACCAAACCTCACCCAGGATTCTGGGATTTGACCGATTTTCCAAAATTATTTCAGGCAATTCCCACCAAAAAAAAAAAAAAAAAAAAAAAAAAACAAAAAAAAACCAAAGGAAAAAGCAAATTTCCAGCCATTCCTGCCCTTTTTCCTTCTTTTTAATGGAAAATCTGCAATTCCTGGGATAAAACAGAGACAAAAAACCCCAAAATCTCTGGAAAGCGCAGCCGGAAAAACTCGGTAATGGGGAAAAAAACCAAAATAAAGGGATTAATAATTCCCTGAATAAATTAAAATTTGGAATAAGATAATTGGGATAGGGAAAATCCGGAATTCGGGTGGGATACAGGAGGCGAGGAGCAGAATCCAAGGAAAACCGGGCACTGCTGAGCTCCCCGTCCCGCTGGAAAACCCTTCTTTAAATCCCTTCCCTCCCAAATTTCCAGCATTTTCCTGCTGGAAATGCCTCTGGATGCCCTCGGATCCACAGGTTCCACGGATCAGGGGGGGAATCACTCTAGTCTCATCTTCCACAGGGATAAAAAGACATTTTTCAAGGGTGATTCCACAGGAATTTATAGGAATTTTTGTGCTTTTTGTCCCCGTGCCAGGACCACGTAGCTCCAGGACTTTCCATGGAATTCCCTCCTCATCCCACGGACACGGGAGGAGCAGGAGGATTTTTGCCCGTGGGGCGTCTTCCTGGTGAAATAAAAGATTTTAATTCCAAGCTGAAGCAAGATTTGGGTGAAGCCGGTGTGGGGAGGGGATAGAAACATTGCAGAATTCCCGAAGAAATTTCCTGGGAATCTCGGAAGGGCTTGGGAAGGACCCTAAAGCCCATTCAGGGAAACCTCCCACCATCCCAGGGTGTCCAATCTGGACATTCCCAAAACCTTCCCTGGTCCCAGAAAAACCTTCCCTGGTCCCAAAAGAACTTCTCTGGTCCCACAGATCCTTTCCTGGTCCCACAGAACCTTCCCTGCTCCCAAAAAACCTTCTCTCATCCCAAAAATCCTTCTCTGGTCCCGAAAATCCTTCTCTGGTCCCACAAATCCTTCCCTGCTCCCAAAAAAACTTCCCTGGTCCCGAAAATTTCTCCTTGGTCACAAAAATCTTTCCCTGCTCCCACAAAACCTTCCTTGGTTCCACAGCCCTTTCCTGCTCCACACAAATCCTTCCCTGCTCCCACAAATCCTTCCCCGCTCCCTCAGACCCTTCCCCGCTCCCTCAGACCTTTCCCCGCTCCCTCAGACCTTTCCCCGCTCCCGCCGCATTTTCCTCCATCCCAAACCCTCCCTCAGGACCGCCAAGGAGCCCGCCCTTTCCCGCCCACCGCCGGATTGACAGCTGCCTCACCCAATCAGCGAGCGCCCAGCGTGCGCAACTCACCAATCACCGCCCGCCTTTCCGCCCGCCTTCTTCCCGCCGTCCCCGGATGCGGGAAGGCGGGGCTTTCCCGAGGCTCGGCCAATGGGGAGGGCGGGTTCGGGCGCGTGCGCGCGGCGGCAGCCAATGGGCGCGGAGGACGCCGGGGGGGACACGGCCAAGGTGACGCTCCCCACAGAGCCGCTGCCGCCGCCGGCCCGAGCGGACCCTGCGCAGGTGGGAGCCGGCCCGGGCCGAACCCGCGCCCGCCGCCCCCGCCGCCTCCTCCGGGGCTCCCGGCGAGAGCCGCGGGCCCGGCCGCTGCTCGCTGGGGTCGTGCCCTTCGCTGCCCGGCGGGCGGTGGGGCCTGCGCTGCCCTCGGCGGGTCGTGAGGGCGCCGGTGTGGGAGGGAGGGGGGGCGGGAGGAGCCGCCCGGGGAAGGCACCGAGCGGGGATTAACGGGAACGGTGGGACAAGGCCGAGGGGACAGCGGGGACACGGTGGGGTGAAAACCTTGGGGACACACTGGGGACAGTCGGGGAAACGGTGGAGACAAAGCCTTGGGGACACGGCAGGGACATGGTGGGGTTAAAGCCTTGGGGACACGGTGGGGACAAAACCTTGGGGACACCCTGGGACAAAGCCTCGGGGACAGCAGGGACACACTGGGGACACGCTGGGGACACAGTGGGGTTAAAGCCTTGGGGTCACGCTGGGACAGAACCTTGGGGACATGCTGGGGACAAAGCCTTGTGGACACGGTGGGGTCAGTGGGACAAAGCCCTGGGGACACAGCCCTGGGGACACTGAACCACGAGCTGTGTGTGAGCGCAGGGGTCGCCTGGGGACAGCAGCACCGGGAATTCACCGCCGGTAAATCTGGTTAATAAACCTTGCTTTGGTTTATCCCCCCCGTTCTTTCTCGCAGATCCAGCAAAATGCAGGCTCCCGTGGCGCTCCTCAGCTCCCCAGCGCTGGTAGGTGTCCCTCCCTGGCAGGGCTGGGCTCATTCCCACCGGGAATGTGGCGTTTCTCCCGCTGTCCCCTCCTGCACACCCCCAGCTGGGGTGGGCTCCGGGCTGTGCTTTCCCGGGATTTACAGAGGAAGGGAACAAGGTGACCTCTGGTGACACCATGTGAGTGGCTGGCACTGAGCTGCAGGCCCCGGCGCTGCTCCCAGCAGCAGCTCCCGCATTTCCACCGAGTTGCTCGGGAATCCCTTTCTTTCCAGGAGGAAAATGTGTGGAAACGTGGGAGGGATGGAATTTCTGGGGCTGGCACCTCGCTGTGCTCAGCCTGGGGTGTGTGGAGTTGCTCGTGGACCTGATCCAAGTGGCTGAAATAGAAACACCCTCCACTGGTCACCCTTTCTTTTCCAGTCCTGGCTCCCAGCTGGGATGTTTTGGGGGGGGGATTTTAACGCTCCATCAACCAGCTGGGCTTTCCTGAGGGTTGGTGCACATAAATCCAGCTGTGGGAACGCTGATCTCTGCTCCCTGCAAGGGTTTGGGTCGGATTTTAGGGAAAACTTCTCCATGCAGAGGGCTCTGGGAATGGTCACAGCTCCAGGGCTGTTTGGGCAGGGTGGGATGTGGAATTTGGGGGCGTTCCCCATCACCCCTGAGCTGTCCGTGTTCCTGCAGCTCCAGGGCTGTTTGGGCAGGGTGGGATGTGGAATTTGGGGGCATTCCCTATCAGTCCTGAGCTGTCCGTGTTCCTGCAGTTCCGCTGCTGCTCCAGGGCTCTGGCCAGGCCCGTGTCCGTGGCTGCGTTCAGCAGGCCTGAGGCTCAGAGCACACAGGTGAGCCTGGGGGTGGGCTTGTGACTCATCCTGGTCTTGATCTTCATCCTCCATCCTCATCCTCCATCCTGATCCTGATCCTTCATCCTGATCCTTCATTCTCATCCTGATCCTCCATCCTCATCCTGAGACTGATCCTGATTCTCCATCCTCATCCTCCATCATGATCCTGATCCTTCATCCTGATCCTCCATCCTCATCCTTCATTCTCATCCTGATCCTCCATCCTGATCCTGATCCTGATCCTCCATCCTCATCCTGATCCTTCATCCTCATTCTCCATCCTTATCCTCATCCTTCAGTCTCATCCTGATCCTCCATCCTGATCCTGATCCTGATTCTCCATCCTGACTCTACTGATCAGGACCAAGCCCCACCCCACCACTCCCCATGCTGGGTGCCAGCCCTCAGGTGTCCCCTGAGGTGTCCCTGCAGCCCCACAGGTGTCCCTGTGTGTCCCTGAGGTGTCCCTGCAGTCCCTGTTTGTCCCCATGTGTCCCTGTGTGTCCCCTGAGGTGTCCCCGAGTGTCCCGGTGTGTCCCCACAGTCCCTGTGTGTCCCTGAGTGTCCCGGTGTGTCCCCACAGTCCCTGTGTGTCCCCCAGTGTCCCGGTGTGTCCCCACAGTCCCTGTGTGTCCCTGAGTGTCCCGGTGTGTCCCCACAGTCCCTGTGTGTCCCCGAGTGTCCCGGTGTGTCCCCACAGTCCCTGTGTGTCCCTGAGTGTCCCGGTGTGTCCCTGAGGTGTCCCTGTGTGTCCCTGAGTGTCCCGGTGTGTCCCCACAGTCCCTGTGTGTCCCTGAGTGTCCCGGTGTGTCCCCACAGGTGCCGGTGCCGCTCCCGGCGCAGCCGTTCCGGCAGTTCCGCACCGGTGCCCTGGCCCGGGACATCGACACGGCCGCCAAGTTCATCGGGGCCGGCGCCGCCACCGTGGGCGTGGCGGGCTCGGGGGCCGGCATCGGCACCGTGTTCGGCAGCCTCATCATCGGCTACGCCAGGTCAGGGTCACTGCTGCTGCTGCTGGGGGGCTCCGGGGGGCTCTGGGGACCCTCCCTGGGCTCTGGGGGGTTATGGGGACCCTCCCTGGGCTCTGGGGGGCTCTGGGGACCCTCCCTGGGCATG